ACAGACATATGCACAAAAATTCAAACAATAATAAATAAAAATGTAATTCTAAATCTAATCTCCTACACTTAATACTTATATCACTAAAACAAATAAAAAACGAAATAATAGCCGAGTGCAGATATATAAGTATATGAGTATATGTGTATATATATATATATATATATATATATATATATATATATATATATATATATATATATATATATGTATATGTATGTATATATATATGTATATTTATATGTATATATATATATGCATATATGTATGTATAAGTATTTGCCATCTAAACATTAATATCATTAGTATTATTTATACATATATATATATATATATATATATATATAAATCGACTCTCCTGTCGCGTTCGACGTATGAGGGTCAGGCCGATAAGTCCCCAGGAAACCGACATCCCGACACCGGCACATGAGATTTGTTTATAGTGGTGAAGACCTCGTGCAGGACCAGCCACACTTTTTGGAGGGACGAATACAGAAACCTGGTGCACCGAATGCATGCCACAAGGTTCCCAAACGACCCTCCGCAGGTTTTGAATTCAGAGTTGTCCTTCTCTAGACCAGTTACCAACCAAGGCTATAGAACCCAGTCTGTCCTGCTATTTTACCCATAGCTGGAGGGAGATGAAGAGGATACATACCTTTCCCAAGGGTATTAGCACGTAAGTGAATGTAATGGATCCGACTGAATTGAATTCGGCTCTGCGATTCCTCAATATATATATATATATATATATATATATATATATATATATATATATATATATATATAGGGAGGCACGGTGGAGTAGTGGATAGCAGCTTGGATTAATATATATATAGCAGCTTGATATATATATATATATATATATATATATATATATATATATATTTGCTTTGCTTTAGTGATATAAGTATTAAGTGTAGGAGATTAGATTTAGAATTACATTTTTATTTTCTGTTAAAATTTTTCGGACATTCAGGCCGGTAAATATTGTTTAATACATTTTATTATAATCAGAGCATTTACTTAAATATATGTATCTATAAAAAGAATGTATAAATATAAAAATGTATTAATATATATATATATATATATATATATATATATATATTAAGCATTAATATCAATTATTTATGTAAAAAGCGAAATACAATTTCCCTAACAAAAAAATAAAGAAAAAAAAAAACTAAATGACCCCGAAATTAAAATCGGTTGCATATCTAGAAAATCGAAACAACTCGCGACAAACCGCAGCTATGGAAAGAAAAGAAGAAAAAAGAAAGAAAAAACCCCCCAAAAACAAGCTCTACATGCTACACGAATGTAGATACGCACAGACGGGTGCATGGCTGAACAAGGCACAAACCAAAAGAAAAATACGAAAAAAACTTATACGAATGATAAGTGTATAAAAAGAAAAAATTGAATAATATATGACGTAAATTGCTGACACACCCTGAAGAATGGACTGATAAATTGACCTACGAAACTCTGAGTCGGGATGCTGAAGATAACATTAAAGGTAACAAACTTTTACTCATCTTAATCCTATCTATCTATCTATCTATCTATATATATATATATATATATATATATATATATATATATATATATATATATCTGAAAACACATGCATCCATATATATATATATATGATCATATATATATGATTTATAAATAACTGTACATATTGCATATATATGTATATATACATATAATATAAATAGATATGCACATATATATAGCACACACAGAAATATATATATATATATATATATATATATATATATATATATATATATATGCGAACAAACATATATATATATATGTTTGTTCGAAAGCAGATACATACATATATATCTGTTTATTCTCAAGAAATATCATTGTAAAAAAAAATGTGTGAATAATGAGTAATTTTCCGCCAGAACGTTTGCCCATTTATTTTGTAATCGAACCAAAATCGATGAAAGCTTCAAGATTGATCGAAAGTTTTGTTTTGCTTCTGGTCAATTTGCTTTTGCTTTCCGTTTCATTTCCTAATTTTTCAAGGACTCCTCTTTTCACTTCCATCAGAGAAGATTTTCTCTCAACAGAACGTCACACCATATACAATTACCATTTCCCGAATCAATGCTTCCAAAGTATCTTTGGGAACCCACTGATTCTACGATGCCTTTGGCTAATTCAAAATACAAGGATGTCACACGACAGTACAAATTTCTTTTTAATTACTCAGAAACTTTGTTTTTAGCATGCTTAGATATTGTAAGATGGATCGGTTTCCATCTGGTTCCGATTTTCTCGAGGAATCTGGTGGCTCCAAGTATCACTTATGCTTTCTCTTTCGGAAACGGAAAACTGTTGCGTAATTTTTTTACATTGATTTCAAAGATTTATTTCAAACCCAGAATCTTAACATAGTATTATTTGCAAAGTTGATTTAAGTCTTTCATCAGACCATGAAATAATAAACTATCGATGTGAACTGCTAAATAAAAAGAAATGACATGTTTAATATATTCTTTGAGAGCTAGAGTGAATTTTATTTCTGCGTAAAAATATTTTATTTGTCGAGATATGGAGAGATAGAAAGAGAGAGAGAGAGAGAGAGAGAGAGAGAAAGAGAGAGAGAGCGGAGAGGAGAAGAGAGAGAGGGAGAGGCGAGATAGAGAGAGGGTTTCCATAAGACTCCAACATTCATCCGGGTATTCTGGTTATTTGAGCAATGCTGTCATCTGCATAATTGATTTTGCAAAGATGTTTTTGCTTTTCACACCAGACTTGATAACTGTTGTTCAACCGACATCACGAAATTGCCACTTTATAGTCCGAATTCTCTTACTTTTATCAATTTATATACACCTGTGAATCTAAGCATGTATATCATTGATCTCTTGCTAAGTCTTTTTATACCCTTTTTATTTAGACTTACATTCCACATATACATTGGGACCTGATTGTTGATATTCATAAAACTGAAAGATGGTGCGTAAAAGCATTTTTGAATGTTAACAATATCGAACGTTTTCGTTTTGTTCAATTCGTTGCTCGACTTGGCTTGTAAGACTTAATACATATGCAAGACAAAGACAGGCATGCCATACCCAGCCTCTATTCCGATTCTTGAGTGGCAATATTTCAGCATCGAATAACATTTAATGTCACATTCATTTATTTACATGTTTACGTGTATCAACATTAAATCTTCGATTCTAAGTACTTGTGTAAAAATGGTAACGTTATACCGTCAAATAAAGTTGATAATTTTCTTTTGTTGATGGCACTGACTTTTTGCAAATCTAAACCAAATATAGACACATCGTACCCAGCTTCTCGTTATTATCTTGACTAACAACGTTTATATATGCCAAAAACATAAACTTTCGAAGTTTCCTTTTAAATGACATATAACAAATCTACTGATTGAAAGAAAGCAACCTTTTTCTTAAATCGGAAAAATAACATGAATTCTTTTTATTTGAAGATTAGTGTATCTTGAATACATTCTTTCATCAGACACCAAGCAACATCACAAAATTCTCTAATCAACTGCTTCAATGAGAATGAACGTAAAAATCACTCAAAACTGTACACACTATACTAACAGCGTAAACATTGTTTAGTTTGAACAAGTGTAAGGAAGAAAAGAATGAAATCCACATTGACTTATAGTGAGATCTTGAATAAGTATATTTTCTGAAATATACATATTATTATTCTGCTTTTCTATATGTACAGCGTTATATTTTCTATTATATAAACAAAACTCATTTTTGCTTTGTCATTTATGTTTTGTCAGTGATCACCTTAAACCAAACCGACCTATAAAATCAACACAGACCTTACGCGATCCAAACGGCTAAACCAATAACAAGAATTCAAATGACATAACAGTTTGGTCACTGATTTGCTGTATGAAGATTGGAAGAAATTATGTTCGAAACACTGAATTAAGATATTGTTTAAATCTTTGTAATGAATATTTTAAATTATTAATTATGAATATATATTTCCCTTTATTAAGTTTCAAAAAATAATAATGAAGACCTTACACTTATTTTATTCCTTTTATTTATTTTTTTACATTTTAATAAAATAGACATAGTTCAAAAGTTTAAAACCTATCACCGCTGTGATTATTTTCAAATAAATTGTTAGTTCGTGTAAACTATTAATTCAATTAAATCAAAAGAAAATTCAGTAACATTTCTTTTGCTTAGAATATGGCGTTTTGATAAATAAGGTTTGTCTAAACTCTGAGAACGACAACAATTCGGACTAATTTAAAAATGTAGATGGAAGATTAAGATTAAGATGGAAGATTATATTGAACTTATGAAAGCACGCTTCTAATGTATCTACCCGATTAATAGGGTGATTTTATCCTTAGGAATTGCAAACAGAACTGGACTCAATGATCATTGATAAACCAAAACAATGGAACTTCCTACGATCAGAATGACTCAGCATTCAGATGTATTAATATCTCCATATTCTTTTTTCTTTCTTTTTATTTGCTCTGTTCATTAGTTTGATATGTGTATATTTAATATGCATATGGTGCCACTATTAAGTTACTAATTATTGAAATATAAATGAGAGTGTCATGATGATATTTTACTTGTCTATTAGCCCCCGCCCCGGCCCGCTACGCCCCGCCCTAGTATTTCGACAGGCTCATTTGATTTCCATTATTTCTCCCATGTGATGATCTTAGTTTCAGTGTTCTTGTTTTTAACACAACCTTTGCATAAAAATATATTTCGTTACTTTTTAGCTGTTTATCGTATGCCGTGACATTTAGATTTCACATTATGAATAAAAAACAACAAAACAACTGATAACGTTTGAAGTGTCGTTACAAAAGATTCCTCCTTTAAAAGAATTGCAAATATTTTTATAAGTCCATCTTTTGTAGAGGTCAACTTTTAATTTTAAACAAGAAGTCATTAATTTATTATTAAGTTTTCTTGTAGTATTTCTTCCTACTCTTTCAGACTATGCTTTTCCTTCAGAAAGGCAAGCGCAATAAGTGCTTTACTGATGAGATCACAAAGACCTACTGGTTAGAGAAGCTGACCAAATATTTTCATTCCTCATTTTTACCGTACACTCAACTAAGGTAACATCCTTAATTCTTACCTATATTTATAGTAAAAGTAACACAATTATTTTGAATTCATTATTAGCTGATGCTTTAATTATTAATTTGTCAATTGTATTACTTTCATCTTAATTTTAGAGGCATTTCATTGCAACTTCCCAGATTATCATATTACGGAAGTCAAGAAGCATTCTTGTTTGGGAATAAACCTTCAGTTCGACTGAAACTTGCATCTTTTTTTTTTCTGATAGTCTGTTTTAATTTGTTATATATCGAATGTATAGCTCGGCCCATGCTAATCAAACAAATTATATTGACGGAGAACCATATTTCATGGCGTATAACATTTTGAAAACATTTGTCGAAGTAGACCGACGGCAAAGAATAAATTTATCAAGTCGTAATGCATTAAGTTAAACAAAAGAGAGAACAAGTTAAACAAAAGAGAATAAAGTCTGAAGAGAAACTTTCGGTTCCAGAGAATTTTTAACCATTTGCGAAAGTTTGCTAGTCAGGAATTCGCATGTGAACATTGTAAAATACTAAACAAAACCTGTTGTTCTCTCCCAATGTAAAACCCGCCCAAGCACCAAAACTAGGATTTAATCTATAAAAGCTTCTGATTTTTATCCGCTGAAACATTATATTTCGTTTATTGGATCTCAGAGAAACATCATTGTAGATCTTTGTTTACAACTTGAAAATGTTTGAAATGTGCAGCTTTGATAAACATAAAGGATTTCATCCTAAAGCATGACTTTATAAAATTTTCTTTAGCACAATAAATTTAAGAGAAAATTGAGATTAAACTGAGAATTCTATATTTCCTATAGTCATAAGGCCTAGCATTTTGGATTTATTGGAACATTTTCTTAGTACCAGATCATTCAGAAACTCTGCTTTCTCTTCATTAAAGAACGATGAATTATCGCGTTGGAAAATGGAAAATATAAAGTCTATTTAATGATGACGCCGATTATGCAGTTGATTAATTAAATTGAACGCAATTTAATTTACAACTATTTATGTTTTCTTTCTGAAAATGTAATAATTTTGTCTAATCTTCTGAGGGAGGATGCACGTTCTCTCTCAAGCACTTCCCACCCGGATTTTGCATTTCTGTCTTGTTGGAACTTTCTCCTACAGATTTCCGTACTAAACTCATGACCTCCCACCGAATTTTGCACCCGCTTCAACCGGCAATGCTTTGGAAATCCCAATTTCAGATTAATGGCACCTACAAGCTGTTGTAATGAGGATATTCGGATTGCTTATTGAATTATCTGGGCATATGGGAAGATTATTTCAATCTTCTTATGCGCCTCTCCTTTATAAATCTCTACTTGAAATCATTCCGTAAAGGTTAGTATGACACCCACATCCACACACACCCACTCTTTTCCAACATGGTTAGCCATGCTAAATTTTAAGGAGAGGATACGCACTCTCCACAAGAAAAAAAAGTTTTACGGCATTCCAGTGTTCGAGAGACATTGAAATGCCGTAAACAGCACGGTACAATGTAGAAAGGTTGCGAAGAAGAACAAAAATAAAAGCAATTAAAATGGAGACAAAGAAATTTGTCAGAGGAAAACTACATCCAATGGTTAGTAGTTGGCAGTTTATGAAAGAAATATGATACAGCATGATATTCTCAGTGGGGATGTATAGGCTTAAGAAGAGATCTTCGATGCTAGTTTATTAACGCGTGAGAATAACTAAATAAACATGAAAAGAGATTTTATTAAACTTTTAACTTTTTTCATACGAATTTCAAAGCAGGGTGGATAATTTTTATTTTATTTTTAAGGAAACCTTTATTCACATAAAACGTTGGAATGATAACCTTTGAACGATGTCTTTATTTAGGAAATGCATTACTCAGGAAAACTTATCCTCAAAAATATTTCCCTGTGTCTTATTTCATCTCTTTTTGCTAAATAAAAGCAGCAATTAATTATTTCTACATGAAGGTCCTGTTTTGATTTACAACAGTTCCAGTTGTTATCTCGACGTGAATGTGTTTCTTTGGCAAAACTGCCGCTCTTATTTGTCGTTGGACTGGCAAATTGTCTTTTCCCGCTAAGGGATGAAGAGCTCATTATACAGAAGTAATCATAAATTTCGCTAGTGCATATACTGCATATCTATCTATCTATCTATCTATCTATCTATCTATCTATCTATCTATCTATCTATCTCTTGCTTTTGAGGTGAATCTTGTTGATAATTAAACCCAGGGGTTGTTGTTAACACGCTCACATATGTCTGAATATTGATCAACGTCAGAAAACATGGGGGTTTTGAGCTGGCGTTATCGGGCAGAGAAGTTGAGTGGAAGTATGATGGAGGTAAAAGGCGTCGATCTACGTTCGGGCAGGGAATGAAGAGAGAAGCAAACTATGCAGAAAAAAGATAATATACTACGGAAGTTGGAATGCCACTCTGAATGTGCATTTGCAAAAACTACATCTGTCTGGCAATTGACAACGCTCTTGTGTCTTTCATCTTTTCTTTTGATTCATCTCATCTGTTCTTCATTTTTTCTTAATAATTGTTAGTACAGGAGGCATAATAAGTCATAAAACCTACAAATGAGGCGGTATTTTGGAAAATGGAATCTAAAGAAACGCAAATATAAGTTCTTGCTTGTTACATGTTCCAGATGATTAAAATTAAAACAATTACTTTTTAAACTCAAAATATAGTTTTGTGTGTGCGTATGTGTATGTTTTTATATTTATGTATAAACACACACACACACACACAAAACACATATAGCTCTGTGTGAGGGTTATATATATATATATATATATATATATATATATATATATATATATATATATATATATATATATCTGTCGAATGAAGATAGCTCAGTGGTAAAAAATCTGACTAATCGGTTGGGTATTCGAATGTCTAGTCGAACTGAGGAACTGTGATACAGCGAAACAGTACTATCTGCGAATGACATATATATGCATATATAAATATATACATTTCAATTAAATATTTGTAGAAAAGTGCACACGTGTTAAAAATATGCACAATAAAAAATACAAAATAGTTTTAAAACTGAACATAATAAATGTTTCTGCTCTCTTATACCTCCGCTACTGTCAGTATCATGTAAAATTCAAGCTAAAACGGAGGAACCATATACGTATTGTGTTCATTTCGTTCGTTTATATCCTGGGGATTTGTATGAAACTCACAATACCCGAAATGTAAGAGCATGAAAACATTTATCATTATATATATATATATATATATATATCATGTCACAATAGATGGTATGTAGATTGCGTGTAATTATGAAATAGACTGTCGCCGCTAGGTATTGACCTCAGTGTCCCATATATATATATATATATATATATATATATATATATATATATATATATTTGTGTATATTTCCTTTCGTCTTTTAATGATAATGTTATTAAGCTTATCAGAAAATATGAAAAAAAACTTACTGAAATATATGGACAAAACTTGTCTATATATATATATATATATATATATATATATATATAAAAAGTAACTGAGAAGACCTTAGCCATAACATGATGGAACTTCAAAGTCTAATGGGTTAGAGTTACCTCTCTCTCTCTCTCTCTCTCTCTATATATATATATATATATATATATATATATATATATTATGCACTGTTACATTAGAACATGTACATACCTACTACAAAACTGTACATCTTGTTTCAGCGTTAAAAAGTATCATTTCTTCAGGTGGGAATTCACCATGATACACGAAGTATGTATGAATATTTGAAGATAATTAGATCTAATTTTGGGCCTGTATTGAGTCATCTGTTTGATTATATATATTTGTCTTCGGAGCTACTCTTGATTTTCACTCAAGATGTTATCTTTAATCTTAGTTCGATAATTGAACCTGAATGTCGCCTTTGTTTGAATTATATTATTGCTCAGTAGCTAAAAAAAATGTATCTATTATCTTTTATTAAGAATTCCTCTTTGACAGATATTTTCCTGCTCAGACCCATCTATCAATCGGTTTATATTTACGACATTCCAAATATTGCCATCTCCCTTAGTGCTATTCATTTTACATTAAGATAAATATGTGTTCTGTATTTGCTTATCACACAATTTCAAAGTCATATTGAATTTTATTTTTTTTTCTTTATGACGGATTTTAATTTGTGAATATTCTCTTGGTTCGCATTGTCAAATCCAAATCGTTTTTTTTTTCTGTGTTAACGAAACGCATTCATGAACAAAGATCATAATATGAAATAATATTATGAATATAATTTTCAGATATTTTCGTTAGTTGGCTCTCAGGTCAAAGAAAATCATTACATTTTTAAAATTTTTTATTTATCTCTTTTTCATTTCATCTGTAGATTCTTCTTGTCTATATTTTCTTTCCCTTTTTATTATTCTTTAAGTGATTATTTGTATGAAACAATCCATTTCATATATCTTTCTCTTTTTTTTTCTTTTTAAAATCTGCATCATGCGTGTTTTTCAACTAAGACCCTTATTATACAATTCCGTAAACATTTTCGCTGCTCCATTGGATATTTTCATAACCCCATTACTATATAAGAATACTTATTTTGGTAATTAAAACTGGATTTATTAAGAAACAAAAAGACTTTGACACTGTCTTTATTTTAACAATTCTATAATCAATGTAGTAACACTAATCCTTTTTTTTTTAATAATGAAAAAGAAAAGGTAAAAAAGAAAAAATGTCATTGTATTATACCAAACTGTAGTATGAACGCACACGTGTATCAGAGGTAATTGGCAACATGCAGCAAGATGCACACTTGCGTTGTATAGTATTCGACGTGTTGATGAAAAGCCAATTGATCATGTGTTCCTACTGTGGTAGCTAAACCTATAAAATATTTATTCAAATTCCCATAAGCAATTCCATTACTGAAAACTTAAATTATGATAGATTTGTGCCAGCCTAAATCTGTCAGTTCGACTCTAGCGGAATTGTCAGTAAATTGTGGTTTATTCAATGATCTGGCTTTTGTATGTTTTTTGCGTTTTTGCTATTAATCCTGAAGAAAAAAAATCAGAACGATGTTAAGAAAAAGTCTAAATATGAAATAACTTTTTTATTTTAAAGCTTCAAAGAACATTTTATCAAGGAAAATTAAGGATAAAAAGGTAAATTATATAATTCCAAAATATAAAGCTCAATAAACTTATTTTGATAAAGTTAGAAGAATAAATATACAACATTCGAAAAAAATAGATGATCAAAAACATCAGAACGATTAAATAAATCCATAAAATTTAATAATTATTTTGTATTATTGAAAATTTTTAGGGTAAGAATATAAAATCCGGTATTTTACACCGGCTCTTTACTGTCTCTTGCATTGTAAACATGGCGAAAAAAATCTGTGACGTCATTGGAACTTAGAAAACTGATAGTTAAGTTACGTAATGAAGATAAACTCTCGATTGTGGATATTTCAAAGAGTGTGGGAAAATCTAAAAGTGTTATTCATATTATTTTAAGAAAACTTGAGGAAACTGGGTCATGTGAAGCCAAGAAACCACCTGGCAGGCCTAGGAAAACTACTGCAAGGGAAGACAGATGGATTGGTAATGAATCAAAAAATGATCGATTTGCGACAGCAACCGCTATCTCTAAAAGAGCTAATGCTAACCTTAGCATTAAAATATCAAGGTACACTATTTCCTGAAGACTTAATGAAATAAATTTGAACAGTCGAGTAGTCTCTACGAAGCCTTACATTTCTAAAAAGAATCAATTGACCCGATTGAAATTTGCTACTGAACACGTCATATGGACAGAAGAACAGTGGGATTGTGTTCATTTCAGCGATGAGTCAAAGTTTAACCCGTTCGGTTGTGACGGGAGAAGGTTCGTTCAACGCAGTCCTAAAGAACGATATTTACCTCAGTGCAGTAGAAGCAGCGTTAAATTTGGAGGAGGAAGTGTGATGGTGTTTGGCATGATTTCAGATGTTGGTACGGGACCTCTTGTTAGGCTACACGGTAAAATTAACACAACTGTATACAAAGAGATATTGAAGAAACATGTTGTACCTGCAATTAATGAACCAGTTGTATTTATGCAAGATAAAGCGCCATGTCACACAGCGAAGTCTGTTAAGACATTTCATTCTGAGGAGGATGTTATTGTTATGGAGTGGCTTGCTCAAAACCCAGACATGAATCCTATTGAGAATGTTTGGAAGTTACTAAATGAAAGAGCTAAGGAAAAGAATCCAACAAACGTCGAAGAACTATGGACTAATTTGAAAGGAGAATAGGAGAAAATATCCATTAATGAATGCAAGGCATTAATTCGCTCATGTAGCAAAAGATGTCAAGCTGTTATTGAAAATAAAGGTTTACATATCAAGTATTAATGAATTATGAACGTTATTTTCATTTGGATATGATGTATCCATTCTAAGAGTATGATTTTGTTAATCGTTCTGATGGTTTTGATCATCTATTCTTTTCGAATGTTATATAATTATTAAACGATGCCGAATATTAAAAGAATAGAACCAAACAGAGACATTTAGAAGAACTTCAAAGGAATAAATAAAATGATTTCTTCACAGTGATGAATTTAGAACTATATAGCAGGGACCTGGCGGCTAGACTAGAGATTGGGCCATTTATTTACTTTCAACTAACACGATTAGACAGGCAGGTGGAGTAATGTTTCGAGGCAGTTCTGTAGGCTGTAAAGGTTACTTCAAAAATTGATGATGGTATCAAAGTAAACGAAATGAATTATTTAAGTTCCTGTATATAAGTTAATGAATATATTCATGCAAGGCAATGTTCCTTCACCTTGCCAAAAAACAAGTTTTAAAGACACTAAAGTTATAGAATGCCCTTCAGCCTCACAATATGTTATTCCATCAGGAAACTTATGGGTCGTCGTTTAGAGATGTTTAGGAAAATGAAAAATAATATTCAAGCAATGAAGATCTCTGGCAAGCTATGGAAAGTGCTCCAGATATTGTTAAATTAAAAATGGTAGAAAATTAGTAAAATCAATGCTTAAATGACTACCCAAGGCTATAGGATGTCAAGGTTGAATAATAATTTATTCAAGTATATATCATTTTATGTTAATCAAATAATATGTTTCTATGGATTATATATTTTGGATTTAGTTATAAGTAGAATTTTATACTGCTCATAGAAACATAGGTATATCATTAAAATTCCACGAACATCAACTAATTTAGACTAAATCTATTGTGAAAACATTGGATTGTGTAAACAATTCTACCAATTCTATACGTTTAGACGAAGCCATGATCAAACACTATTCTTCCTTCCTTCCTTTAGTTATTCCTTTGCCTTAATCCATTCCTTTTACCACAAATATCCTCTGCCTTTCCTACCTTTAAACCTTCCTTCATCAAAAACTCTCCCTATAACTCTCCTTATCACTTTTTTCTTTCTTATAATCAAGTTTCCTTCCTTCCTTTTTTTTCTTTCTTCCTTTGAAACACCCTCGTTATGTCGTTTTCTCCTGTACTGCCTCTATTTCCTTTGTTTTTTTCTTGCTGTCTCTCCTTTCTTTCTTCTATTATCAAATAGCCTCTTTCCGTAAGTTGTATAATCAAATCTAGCCACTTCTTTCTTTCTTTCTTTCTTTCTTTCTTAGCATTTTCTCTCTTCTGCCTTCCTTTCTTCCTTCCTTCTTTCCTTCCTTCCTTCCTTCCTTCCTTCCTTCCTTCCTTCCTTCCTTTCATCAAATACACCCTCCCTCTTTTTTTTCATTTTTTCTTCCTTTTAAATGCCACGAATTTCTTAGTTTATGCCTTCTCGCCTCATTCTTTTTCTTTATTGTCTTTTCCTTCTTCCCCACTCTTTTCATTCGAAATAAAATCGATTATTTTTAGAGAAGTTGACTTTTCCATTGGCTAATCACACCTAATGTTACTTTTGAATCTAAAGCAAGTTGCAACGGATTTCTTCAAATTACCTTTAAATTAATAACAGTCGACGCAGGTTATTAATTCATTTCTGTCTTCGTTTTGATGACAGCGACGATGGAGATTAACATGAAAAACTCATCACAGCAACTGCAAATTCATTGTCAAGGCGTTAATTATAAGGATTTCAGGAAGTCCTCAGATTCTAATTGTCTACAGGAAACTCACCCCCTCTCTCTCTCTCTCTCTCGCTCTACACACACACACACACACACACACACACACACACACACACACACATATATATATATATTTATATATACAGAAGTCTTTCCTTTATGTAAGCTTAATTAAAGACTACAGATAGGGAATCTTTTGAGTTTTTACTTGTTTACGGACAAGACGACGTAATGTTAATTGAAACACCGTCGAAACGTTTTGTGGTTTATCGCTTTCATATATCTGTCTATTATCTTGATCAGGAAGCATAGTGGATATTATTTGTTTTTGATGTTAAAATACTTTCAAAGTTGACATTATAACTCCTGCTGTTCGTCAGTTTGAATGATGTCGAGACTACATTGCTACACAGTCTCTAAACCGAATCCAACATTCTTTAGTTTTAGGTGTCTAGATTTTATTATAAGAATATGGAAGGCTTTTTTGCTATAGAGTTAATGTAGAGTATACATGTATTATTTGGGAGTGTTTGACGTATATTAGTGGAAATATAAGACTTCTTTCTGTTACCAGCCTGCCGATTGGGATTAATTTTGTGATTATCTCTGCGATGCCCATTGGAGCGAAATGTTTATCCTTCTTATTGAGAATTGTGCCAGTGATATTTCTTCTTGGGTAAAAGTCGGCATCGATGCTTTTGTGCTGTCACGGATATACCGGATATACTCATATACGCCTATTCAGCCGCAATAGCCCACAGCAATCACTTTTCTTCCATTTCTATTATTGACTCCTCTGGATTATCTAAGGGTAGCTGCTAGGAAATTTAGTACGCTGTAACATTCGAAACAATTTTAGTCACAGCAAAATTCTCTCTTACATCTTTATAATTGCGCCATTCGTCCATGCACTGAATATTGCTGCCATATCTTGTCTGGGACTTCTGACATTGGCAGCTAAATATCATCATTTACAGTTGAAGTTATATGCTAACAGTTTCTTCTCTCGCACTTCTAGCCTATGGCTTCTTGCTTTCCAAAAATAATTGGAAAAAATTGAAGTGTAATGTCAATCATCATCATCATCATCTCTCCCTTTAAGTTATTTTCTTTTATTAGCCTCTCCTTAATAATGATTTTTCTCAGATTCTTTCATATTCAGTAAACCCTTGTGTCTTAGTGGTTTTATTGCCTTGCTTGGAGAGAAATTATTTCATAAAAAGTACCCAGCAGCAGCAGCGTATTCACATGAATACGAATGGCATTTTGACTAGAGAAATGGTAAACATCCAATGCTGTCGTGTGTGTCTATAGTTAGAATTGTGATTTGCTGTGGTGTCTTGGCTAGCAAATATTTCAGCGGCATGAAATCCTCACTAGGTGTCAAAGGTAAGCTTATCAGATACTGATACTTGTGAAGTTTTTGTACCGTCATTCGCAATAGAGTATGGTACAAAATCAAGATCTAAATCACGAGGAATGGTCAGCAAAATGAGTGACATGAACACTGCTCTATGGTAAGAGCCAAAGCTATTTACAAATCAAACTTTAGTCTGTTCCTATCTATCTATCTATCTATCTATCTATCTATCTATCTATCTATCTATCTATCTCTATCTATCTGTGCTTTTCGTATTTATTTACTACCTTTACTTTAGTCCAATACAGGGTTTCGAAAAGAGATAACCAGAAAGACTGTTTTGCGTCAGTATTTTCAAGGGAGAGAAATTCTTGCATTTGAAAATCACCTTAGATCTGGATGAAAATTGTGGATAAACTGTCAAAAGTCCGTATTTTTCTCTCGATCATTATTAGAAAGTAAATATTCTCTGTATCGTAGTCAAGGATTGTAGATTACATGCTGGCAAAGGTGTATCGTGTAAATATCGTCATGTGTAGAAAGAAACAACCTTTAATTTTAAATAAAATATATTTCACCGTAGGAGACAACATTTTCAAATGTGTATAAAATATTCTATATGCGCATGGAATAATTAAAATATTTCTATTTGTTTAAAAGGCGTTGGTAAGCTTTGCGAAACCGTTCAAAACATGGCAGCACGTATATGAGGTAAGATCGAGTCGCTCGTGTAGTAAAATTGATACTCACAAGGCGTCCCACAAATTTGGTATTACGCCACAACTACGTAATTGGCATGAAATAATGGTTTTACTGAACATTAATTTTTAGTACTGAGTTCGATCTTTGCTGGGTGATTTATATTTGTTTTATACTAAGCGTCATCAAAAATCTCGCCATTTTCAAGGCTATCTTGTTAGATCCCTTTAGTGTTTCTTGTTGGCGATTGCGACCCGATTGTGATGTGGGCGAAGAGTGGTCAGAATTTCTAGAGCAATGTCTGAAAATCGCACGAGGCATGAAACTGGCATTCACTATGCAGTGTTGATTCCTGTTTTCACCCAAATTCACGCTATCTATTTATATCTATATCCTTTTCTCTCTCTATATATGTGTACGTTCAATCCATAGATAAGGGCGTGCTGAAACGTGCTCGCTCTAATAATTTTTTTTTAAATCAATATTTTAATGACCAAACACCAGATTAGTGATTTTAGGAAGTGAATAGTGCCGATAACTTTTCAACAATCCCCCATCTCTCTCCCCCACTCTCTCTCTCTCTCTCTCTCACACACACACACACACACACTCACACACACACACACACACACACACATATGCATGTGTGCATGCGCGCGTCTGTGTAAACACTCAACATATTCTATGAAATCATGTCACTCACCACCCGGTTTCAAACTGCAAGCGATACGTTGTTAATGATACGTTGAGGTATTAAGCCTCGCTTTCGATAATTATAGCGCGTCAAAGAGACTTGTGCAATGGCTGCCGGTCCCGCCATGATTACTGACATTAGTCAAAGCCATGGAAGCCATTACTTTGCAAGACTCGCATCTGGGCTGGGGAATATTTTTTTTTATCTTGTTTACAGCAGGAAAGAACAAAGCCGTCGCCGTGAAAGAATTTGGAGGTGGGGAAAGAAAGAAGTATAAATACGCAAGGTGAAGTCGAAACAATAATGGAAGAGGCAATGAAATTATGGCGGCGTGCTGAAAATACTGATGTCGTTGTGAGTGTTTTATTAATTTAATTTGGTATGTTTGGGATTGTTTTAATCGTAGTTTTGTTTTTTGTGTATTGTATATTTTCCATTTACTTTTCATTCATTCACATTTTTCTTCCTCCTGTTTTTCTTTCTTGTTCCATACTTATTTTCTTTCCTTCTTTTTTATATTTACCAATCTGTTTATCTTTACATTTTTCCTATTTTTCTTATCATTTTTGTGTCTTTCCTTATTTTCTTCTTTCGTTTTATATGGAACATTTAATATTCCTTCTTCGCGTTTCCTTCTTTTACTTTCTTTGCTGCTTTCAATTTTCTTTCTTTTCCTTCCAATTTTATTCCAGGCATTACTATTTTTTCTTTATTGATTTTCATTCATTTCTTGACATTTCACTCAAAGCATTTTCATTTATTCATTGATCATTCTTTTTACTGACTTTTCATTCAGTTCATTTTACTTTTTCATTAATGATTTTTCGTTCTTATTCTTATTCAAATATATCTTTCTTTACTTCTTTTAAGTTTTATTAATTTCTCGTTTTTTTTCTTTCTCAGATCAGTTTTCCTTTTCTTTCTTACTTTAAACATTTCAGTTTTCTTTGTGCTTTTTCTACTCAATTTGTTATTCTCTTTTTTCTAGTTTCTTTTGTTTGTCTTTTACTTTCATCAGATATCTACCTACTCTCTTTAACTTTCTCTCTTTTTATTTCTCCTCTTTCCGCTACACTTGGCAATCTTTTCTCTTTTCAATAAACAAAACCGCAACGCCGGATCAAATCAAGATTATAAAATGATAAGCTTGTTATCTAGAAAACAACCTTCAATTTTAGAGATTCCTCTTTATTTCAATGATAGCTCGAGTTTTTCAATAAGATTCAAGACGGGCGTAATTTATTTCAAAATCAGTAATCAAAATTATTTATCCATAACTTTTATCTGATTTAAAGCTACTTCTAATTAAAACATCTCTCTTTTACACACTCTCTTTTAAGTTGTGGTTGATCATGTCTGTCCACACCTTCCTTTTTTGTTGTTCTCAACAAATTCTAGTTCCTTTACGATCCTATTTCTCTTTGTAGTGTCTGTTCTTCCAGACACTTGCTAGGATTTTTCAAGTAGATTATTTGCTGTGTTCGTTTATTTCTTTTGCTTTTGGTGTATCTAATTCTCTAAGCCTTTTTACTTTGTTATGCATCACACCATTTTTTTACAAAAACTTGTATAATTTTGTCTAAGCCGTAAGATTGTTTCTTTTGTTTATGCTATATATATATATATATATATATATATATATATATATATATATATATATATAGGTGTAATGGGTAAATTGTCGTTAAATTATGTAAAAATGAAAATAAAATTGACATCTCATTTTAACAGACATATTTACCAAAATTATACAAAAATATCTTAAGGGTAGTTTTTTTTTAAATAAAATCGCCATTGGTTTCAACCACGGCCTCCAGACGACTTTGGAATCTCCTGCATCTCCTCTGGGTGGTCATCTTATTTAAGGTTGGGAATAGTGCCATAATCTTTGCCTTCAGTTCATCTTAGTTGGTCTGTCTCTCAAATGTACCCCACACATAATAACCAGTGGAGTTGCAGTCTAGTGAGTTAGGTGGCATGATGTAAGGGGTGATGTGGTCGCAGAAATTGTCTGACAGCTATGACTGGGTTCTCC